AACCATTTGAATTTGCAGCTGTGACCGTAGTTCACAGGCGAGGGATGAAGTTTGTAAAATAAGTCGCCACATGGAAAAAAGAGGATAGAGATAAGTGCCCTCGGCCTACCTCTCATAATACTAGAATTTGGGATCATAGAATTATAGGAATATGCAGATGTCCCAAACAGGGATCAAAGCTGCTGCATGCTCTAACCAACCGAGCCATCCAGGGGTCATCCAACGAAACTGATTGGCAGGAGATGCAGAGAGCAGACAAAAGGAAGCGCTTCTTCACACAACTCGTAATTGATTTATAGAATTGGTTGCCAGAAGATGTAGCGATAGCCGCTAGCTTAGATGGATTTTAAATACAATTAGGCAAGTTATCGGGAGGGTCAGGCTACTAGTCGCGTTGGCTGTTTGAAATACGTAGGTCAAGAGATGGGGAACCTGTGGCCCTTGCAGATGTTGTTGAGCACCAGCTCCCATCAGCCCCAGCCAGCATGACCAATGGTCAAAGCTCCCAAAGTATGAACAACATATTAAAACAAGAATAGGCGATAAAATGCAACAGTAAACAAAACGATGAATGTCAGCAGCCCAGGACGGCTAACAGAAAGACTCCACAAGCTAGAAGATTAGATGCACCTACCAACCCTCCATCCCCCACACTTAGGGGCTGGGAAATTGAACAATGAGCATTATTTTTTTTTTTTAAAAAAAAGCTTACATAACTTTGAAGAGTTAAGGGTGCTTTCACCACCCACTCATTCTAATTATTCAGGGGTTCAGGGGGAGCAAGTAATCCATGTAAATCATTTCCCCCCCCTGAAAAATAGGAATACTTAAAATGTTTTAATTGTGGATGCTTTTAATGACTTGATGGAATTGTTTTATTGTGTGTTTTAATTATGTATGGATTTTATAATTGATTTCAAACTTTTGAACTGCTTAGAAGCTCTTTCAGCATGTTAGCAGTATATAGAAAAGTATATAGCGGCTGCAAAATAAGGGGACTCCCAGCACCTTACTCCACGCTTTCCGGGAAAGGAGAGTCCTGCAAAAGCTTGTCTTGAAAGAATGGAGCCCATGTCCTAACCCAAAAGGATGATAAATCTGTTTCCCTGCAGATGGTGTTGGACTATGGCTCTCATCATCTCTCCCCATTGGACCTGCCGGCTGGGGTTGATGGATGTTGTGTTCCGTCAACATCTGTAGGGCCACAAGTTCCTTATCAATGTAACAGGATGATCCAAAGAGGTCTTCAAGGACCATCCATCCTGATGCCCTCTGGGGTGAATAGGGAAAGTCGCTTCTCAGGTACCCAGTTGCTACACAGTGCTAGAAACTCAGGTATATAAGCCAGGTGTCAAATGGCTCCTTAAACCAAGGCTACAGCTGCCAAAATGGAATGTCTAGTTGCCATTTTGGAGCAAGACGGCTCTAAAGTCTTGTTTTTCAAATGATGGACTGACTGTGACTGGATTGTCAGTTAAAGATCTGGCTAGTTTAAACGACAACCTTGAGTTAGGTTAAGAACTTTGAGAAGTTAAAGAAGAAAAGTCACTTGACCCAGGGACAGTCCACATATATTCCCATCTCTTTTTCTTAATGGTGACATGGACCATTCATAATGTAGGGCTATTCTTCACAACTGTGAGCTGGGCAGTGGGGTGGGGTAAGTGAAGACAAGCAGCAAGAATTAGCTGCAACGTTGTTCATTGCTCCTGCTCAGGCTGCACAGAAAAAGCATTTTGGTTCTTGAGATTCATTCTGATTGTGCAGATAAATTATAACTGATGGAATTCTACAGGATGGGGTATTGTCATGTGAAAACAGTCCAGATCTGATGATCCCCAGGCATGTACCTCCAGATGGGGGAGATGTTGGGTGCCATCTTGGCGCCCAGGCATCTTCACTTGGTCACAAGTGGCTGATAGCCAGGTGCAAAATGTGCCTGGCACCTGGCTGGTTTTGAACACTGCTGCTACACCTTTGGTTGAGAGCTACAGCCTTGAGAAGGCCAAAGGATGATGGGAGTTGTAGTCTGGCAACACCTGGAAGGCCACACATTCCCCATCCCTCTTCTAAGGTCAATACTAGCTCTCAATACTACAGTGAGGGGAAAAAGTATTTGATCCCTTGCTAAATTTGCCCGTTTGACGAAGAAATGACCAGTCCATAATTTTAATGGTAGGTTTACTGTAGCTGTGAGAGACAGAATAACAACAGGAAAACCCCCAGAAACCTGGAAGACGAAAGTCAGAGATTGATGTGCATTATAATGAGCGAAATAAGTATTTGATCCCTTTGCAAAAGATGACTTAGTACTTGGTGGCAAAACCCTTGTTGGCAATTAGAGCGGTCAGACGTTTCTTGTAGGTGGCCACCAGGATTGCACACATCTTGGGAGGTATTTTGTCCCACTCCTCTTTGCAGATCCTCTCCAAGTCAGTAAGATTTCAAGGCTGATGTGTAGCTACTCGAACCTTCAGCTCCCAACACATATTTTTCGATGGGATTAAGGTCCGGAGACTGGCTAGGCCACTCCAGGACCTTAATATGCTTCTTCTTGAGCCAATCCTTTGTTGCCTTGGCCGTATGTTTCTTCGTCAGAGGGCAAATGGGCAAATTTAGCAGGGGATCAAATACTTTCCCCCTTCACTGTAGCTGCTTGGGAAAAGCAGCAGTGGCAAACATCTGCTTTGATACCGTGGGAGGCAGGATGCTGGCATAGATAGAGGAAGGCCATAGCTCAGTGCTAGAGCATCTACTTTGCATGGAGAACATCCTACGTTTGATTCATGGCACCCCGAGATAGGGCTGAAGGAGACTTCTGCCAGAAACCCTGGAGACCCACCATCAGCCAGTGTAGACAACCTGAGCTAGATGGACCGGTCATCTGACTCAGGAGAAGGCCGCTTCTTGAGCTTTTGACCTGACCCAGCATATTGCCTCTTCTGAATGGGAAGTGCTGCATTGATACTTCCCCAACTAGTGTTAGAAATTAGCCAGGTGCCAGGCACATTTGACGACTAGTAAGCGTCCAATGGGACGCGGGTGGCGCTGTGGGTTAAACCACAGAGCCTAGGACTTGCCGATCAGAAGGTTGGCGGTTAGAATCCCCGCAACTGGGTGAGCTCCCGTTGCTCAGTCCCTGCTCCTGACAACCTAGCAGTTCGAAAGCACATCAAAGTGCAAGTAGATAAACAGTTACCGCTCCAGTGGGAAGGTAAACGGCGTTTCCGTACACTGCTCTGGTTCGCCAGAAGCGGCTTAGTCATGCTGGCCACATGACCCGGAAGCTGTACGCCGGCTCCCTCGGCCAACAAAGCGAGATGAGCGCCGCAACCCCAGAATCGGCCACGACTGGACCTAATGGTTAGGGGTCCCCTTTACCCTTTTAAGCATCCAATTGTGAACACGTGGGGATCTCTGGATCCCAGATTGTTGACTGACATCTGCATCTGGCAGGCCCCTCTGGTTTTCTTAAGCAGGTAAGCAGAAGAGCTTATTGTTGCATTTACAGCCCATCTTTTTCTCCAAGGAGACATGGTTCACAGCTCCCCCCCCCAACCCTGCTAATCCCTACATCGACCCTGTGAGGTAGGCTAACTTCATGGCTGAGTAGGGATTTGAACCCTGATCTCCCAGGTCCTAGTCTGACACTCTAACCACTACACCACACTGGCTTCCTAGAGTACTTTTGCTGTGGGGCAGCTCTATATATTAAGTAGGTAAATAAATATGGGGAAAGCAAAATGTCACTTAGAGAAGGATCTGAAGCTTGAATTTGTTTTATTCTGGATTATTATTTTTAATTCATAGTAAACTGCTTTGAGATTTTTTCCCTTTAAAATATAAAGAGGTATAGAAATGAAATTAACGACAGCAACAGCAATCAAACTCCCCTGTAAAAAAGGCGTCTAGACATTCTGTTGTGGTGACTGCAACTTAGATTTAAGGTACCATTTGGTGATTAGCTTATATATCTGAGTTTTGAACACTTTTCCCAACCTGAATTCCTCCAGATTATGATGGATTCTGAGTCCCATCAGCCGCAGCCGGTATTCCCATGGGCTAGGAAGATGGGATTTGTAGTCCAAGAGGTCATCAGGTTGGGGAAGGCTAGCCTTGGAGAGTCCTAAGCTATGAGCCTGTGATAATACCTGATCAGAAATCCCAGGATTCTTTGGAGTGTATGTTATAGTGGTATAAAACAGTTTTAATTCAACTCAACAGAGTTTATTTTGTATTGGCTGTGAGCCCTAACCTTAAGAAACTGAGCAACATTTAGATCCTTCATTGCAGATAAAAATAACAACCCTTAAAAACATTAGCACCAATTAAGGCATCACAGACAGTGAACAATCATCACGCAGGTCAGCCGACAATCATTACGCAGTCCTAGTCTACAATCACTTGTACGAGTATTAGAGGTTAAATGTTGTCACGTTTTCCCAAAAGCCATCCATTGACTTGGTGAAAGTGTTATTTGAGTTTCCTAATAAATAGATACACGCTTGTAGTCTAGGTAAGCCCTGGAGCCGCATGGAGCCTAAAATACAATATTAAGAATCCAGTTGGCTTGGCGGAAGGAGGGAGCATGTCTGCTCTGAATGAGGAATATAATTAAACCTATTTTATATATCTATATAAATACCTGTGGGAGGGTTGAAAGGACTTTGGAAAAAAATAATGAAAGCATTTCACAATCTTGGGATATTTGAGAGAGAGAGAGGAAAAAATGGGCATTCCCCTCATTTTACCAGCATAAATGATTTAGCATTTTTCTAGGCAGCCCCAAGGCGAAGGAACTGATACTTCATTTTGTACTGTGGGGTGGTCTTCATAGGAAAAGGATCATCCTTTGCCTTGTGTTTCTCTTGGACAAGTCTCAGAATTATTCTGAGCACCTTCTGCTGTGTAAGTCCTTATGGGAATCATAGAATCGGAGAATTTTAAGAGTTGAAAGGGACCCTGAGGACCATCACCCCTGCAATGCAGGAATATGCAGCTGTCTCAGACGGGGATCGAACCTGCAACCTTGGCGTTATCAACACCATGTTCTAACCAACTGAGCTAACAAGTGAATGATTAAAAGCATCCCCCAAAAGTGTCTAGGGCAGGAAAGCACACACAGGCCATACATAGCCGCACCATACATGAAAATCAGTATCGTACCACTTCAAATGTGTATTGCTTCCCTCCTCCCAAAGAATCCTGGGAACTGTAGTTTGTTAAGGGCGCTGAATTATGGTGCTGGAGGAGACTCTTGAGAGTCCCATGGACTGCAAGAAGATCAAACCTATCCATTCTTAAGGAAATTAGCCCTGAGTGCTCACTGGAAGGACAGATCCTGAAGCTGAGGCTCCAATACTTTGGCCACCTCATGAGAAGAGAAGACTCCCTGGAAAAGACCCTGATGTTGGGAAAGATGGAGGGCAGAAGGAGAAGGGGACGACAGAGGACAAGATGGTTGGACAGTGTTCTTGAAGATACAAACATGAGTTTGACCAAACTGCGGGAGGCAGTGGAAGACAGGAGGGCCTGGCATGCTCTGGTCCATGGGGTCACGAAGAGTCAGACACGACTAAACGACTAAACAACAACAACAACAAAGGGCGCTGGGGGTTACTAGCAGACCCCTGTTCCCTCACAAGATCTACAATTCCCAGGCTGGTTTAACAATCAGCCCCTCTCCCCAGGGAACTCTTGGGGTCGTTGTTTTGTCATTTCCCGCATTTTATGCATCCAGGAGCAAATGTGATCTTGCCAATCTCCCATTGGACTCTCTTGTTTTGTAGCGTCGTAGAGTTTGAAGGGGTTTGGGGGTCATCCATTGCACCCCCTGCTCAGTGCATGAACTGCAATGCGGGATGGGACTGCAGTATACGCTACACACAGCCTTTGCTTAAACCCTCCCACAAATGAGAACCCATCTTGCCATTAGAAAATTTCGGACTCGCAGCTGTCCATGGAGGCACAGGTCAATTCTGTGTCCAGGTCAGCTGTTTATCAGCTCCATCTGGTACGTAGGCTGAGACCATACCTGCCCGCGGACTGTCTCGCCAGAGTGGTACATGCTCTGTTTATCTCTCGCTTGGACTACTGCAATGCGCTCTACGTGGGGCTACCTTTGAAGGTGACCCGGAAACTACAACTAATCCAAAATGCGGCAGCTAGACTGGTGACTGGGAGCGGCCACCGAGACCATAGAACACCAGTCTTGAAAGACCTACACTGGCTCCCAGTATGTTTCCGAGCACAATTCAAAGTGTTGGTATAGACCTTTAAAGTCCTAAATGGCCTCGGTCCAGTATACCTGAAGGAGCGTCTCCACCCCCATTGTTCTGCCTGGACGCTGAGGTCCAGCACCGTGGGCCTTCTGGCGGTTCCCTCGCTGCAAGAAGCCAAGTTACAGGGAACCAGGCAGAGGGCCTTCTCGGCAGTGGCACCCGCCCTGTGGAACGCCCTCCCACCAGATGTCAAAGAGAAAAATAACTACCAAACTTTAGAAGACACCTAAAGGCAGCCCTGTTTAGGGAAGCTTTTAATGTTTAATAGATTATTGTATTTTAGTGTTTTGTTGGAAGCCGCCCAGAGTGGGTGGGGAAGCCCAGCCAGATGGGCGGGGTATAAATAATAAATTACTACTACTATTATTATTATTCCACCAAGGTTTTGAATGCCACAGGGGGATTTCACACATGGCAAAGCAGGGATGTCATTTAGTGCGTGCGATGCATGTATACTAGTGCAGTTTCAACCTCTCCTTTTGGGAATGAAGGAAGTCGCAAGAAAGAGGGGGAAGAAGCTGGGAGAGAGGTCATTAAGCAGTTCACCAAGACCCTCAGCAATTTTCAAGTGGTCCAGGAGGAGAAAAAGTTTGGGGAACCACTGAGATAGATCATAGGTGATTATTCCTCAGGAGCGCCCATAGATCTCTTACCAGTTTGTTGGTAGTAGATGCCAAGGAACTGTTTATTTTCGGCGCTGGCCAGAGTTACAAATCCATTTACCATTGACCTGTGTTGATGATGTGATTGTGGTTGTTATAGAGTATCCAAAGAGGAAAGAATTATAGCCAACCCTTCTTTCCATAAGGCAGCTTTTTGACTTTGACATCTTTTCTCTGCCTCCCAAGGAGCTCATTGAGTTTCCACCATTTTATCTTCTACAACAGCCTTGCAAAGGAGGTTACGCTAAGATTGGGTGTCCGGCCCAAGGATCATGGCTGGAGCAGGAATTAGAAATGGGCAGCTCTTGGTGTACGTTTATTGGCACTCTCAATGGGCGGGGCCTTTTCAGGGGTGGTTCCCTAGGCGAGATGGATGGGAGGTTGCCTTCTCTGGATGGGGTCACAGCTTCCTCTGAAGGAGTAGGAATGCAGCTAGGGTGTCCTTGTAGAGCCATTGCTGTTGCTTGAGGCTCAGGTGACCTCAGTGGTGTTGAATGCCTTCCATCGGCTTTGGCTGGTGGCCCAGCTGCGCCCCTATCTGAACAGGGAGAACCTGTTCTTCTTTTGCCTATGCTTTGGTAATCTCTAGGGACATGGGTGGTGCTGTGGTGTAAACCACTGAGCCTTGGGCTTGCCAATCGGAAGGTCGGTGGTTCGAATCCCCGCGATAGGGTGAGCTCCCGTTGCTCGGTCCTTGCTCCTGCCAACCTAGCAGTTCGAAAGCACATCAAAGTGCAAGTAGATAAATAGGTACCACTTCGGTGGGAAGGTAAAGGGTGTTTCCATGCGCTGCTCTGGTTTCGTCAGTAGCGGCTTAGTCTCGCTGGCCACATGACCTGGAAAAACTGCAGACAAATTTCGGCTCCCTTGGCCAGTAAAGCAAGATGAGCGCTGCAACCCCAGAGTCGTTCACAACTGGACTTAACTGTCAGGGGTCCTTTACCTTTACCTTTTTAAGGTTCAGTTACTACAACCTGTTAAACATAGGGCTGCCTCTGAAGATGGTTAAGAAATGTCAAGTGGTACTGAATTTGGCAGCTCGGTTACTCACTGGGGCAAGAAAGTTTGAACTTATTACAGTGGAACTTCAGTTTTTGAACGTCTCAGTTGACGAATGTTTCAGCTTTCAAACGCCAAAAACCTGGAAGTAACTGCTTCGGTTTCTGAACATTTTTCGGAAGCCAAACGTGCCACGTGGCTTCTGTTTTGAGTTTCCCTATTGTATTGAGGCTTCTGCTATCAGTTTTCGGTTTTCGATCGTTTCGTAAATTGAACAGTCTTCTGGAACAGATTACCTTCGAAAACCAAGATTCCATTGGACTGTAATCCTGGCCTGACTTCACTGGCTGCCGATTAGTTTCTGGGCCCGATTCAAAGTGCTGGTTTTGACCTATAAAGCCATAAACAGCTCAGGACTGCCATACCTCAAGGACCGCCTCTCCTCATAGGAACCGACCCAGACCCTGTGAACATCATTGAAGGCCCTTCTTCGTGTGTCCATGAAAGGTCTGGAGGGGGTGGCAACATGAGAACAGGTCTTTTCTGCAGTGGCTCCCCATTTGTGGAATGCTCTCCCCTGGGAGGCTCACCTGGCGCCTTCATCACATATCTTTAGGTACCAGGCCAAACCGTTGGAGGTTTATAACATCAGAGGTCAGAGGGCCATCTGTCAGGGTTGCTTTAGTTGCGATTCTTGCGTGACAGGGGGTTGCGCTAAATGACTCTTGGGGGTCCCGGTCCAACTCTACAATTCTACGACTCTGTTAGAGGTCTTTTTTAAAGCAGATGAATCTTCTTCACAAGCTTGACTGCCGAGCTATATATCCCTCGAATAAGAAGAATTCCCACTCTCGCGAAGGCTTCCTCGGTAGCAACTGGCCCATCTCACACTCAGCTGCTAATAATAATAATAATAATAATAATAATAATTTATTATTTATACCCTGCCCATCTGGCTGGGCTTCCCCAGGCACTGTGGATGGCTTCCAACAAAATATTAAAATACTGTAATACACCAAACATTAAAAGCTTCCCTAAACAGGGCTGCCTTCAGATGTCTTCTAAAAGTCTGGTAGTTGTTGTTCTCTTTGACATCTGGTGGGAAGGCGTTCCACAGCGAGGGCGCCACTACCGAGAAGGCCCTCTGCCTGGTTCCCTGTAGCTTCACTTCTCGCAGTGAGGGAACCGCCAGAAGGCCCTCGGAGCTGGACCTCAGTGTCTGGGTAGAACGATGGGGGTGGAGATGCTCCTTCAGATATACAGGACTGAGGCCGTTTAGGGCTTTAAAGGTCAGCACCAAGACTTTGAATTGTGCTCGGAAATGTACTGCTTGCCTCTGAATTGCTCCTTGTGACGAGGCCCCTGCTCTTTGTCTGTTTGGCTTCCAGCTCAGTGTGTTTCCCCATTTCGGTGCTGGAACGGCACTCGCAAAGGCAGGGCTGGGTGGTGGGGAGTGAGGCAGACGGACGGCTAGACTTTGAATGAGCAGCATTAGAAGCAGATGACGCCTCACGGACACCCACAACTACCTTGGTTTAACTTTAATCTGATTTAGTTAAACCGTCAGAAAGCTGTGTGTGCCGGCACAATCCCTTTAGTAGCGGGGAGGGGACTCGCGTCGCTTTTGCCAGCATTGGTTGAGATTAAAAACTGATACAGCCACAAGGTTATAAATCCGATTACGGCACGCTCGGGCCGGATACGCCTGGCTGGAAGGCCTCTTTTTCTTTTGAAAGCTATTCAGCTCGTCAACTTTCTGCTTGCAAGCAAGTCGACGGAGCAATGCAATGAGTTTATGAGCTGAACAATATACAGACACAATATACAGTGTCCCTCTTTTCCAGGGACAGTCCCGGATTTACAGAAGCCGCCCCGGTTTCTGATGTGGTCCCAGAATGTCACACTTTCCCTTAGGATGTCCCTATTTTCACCAGAGAAATGTTGGAGGGTATGGTAGGACACCCTTATTTCCATTGGAGAAAGTCGAAGGGTATGGAGTTAGGTGATCTCCAAGCCAAGGAGATAAGTAACTATACAGACAGCCCTGCTTAGGGAAGTTTGTAATGTCTGATGTTTTATCGTGTTTTTGGAGTTCTGTTGGGAGCCATCCAGAGTGGCTGGGGGAAG